GGCGCGGCGCACGCGGGCCTGCGGAGACCCGCCCTGGGTGCCCTGTGCGAACGTATTGCGGTGCCTGCTCACGCAGCCAGGGCCCCCTTGGGGTTACCTCCCTCCGCCAGCCTCCCCGAGGTGCCTAGGTCCCAGGTGTGGGCACCTAAGCCCCAGTGTAGGCGTCCGTGGAGGAGAGCTCACCCCGTGTAGCGTCACTCGGCACCGGCGGGCGGGGTGCGTCCGTCTCCTCCGTGCCTGAACACCTGTCCCTTGCCTCAGCCCAGCAGCGACGCGAGTCGGGGCAGACAGGCTTTTGGTGCTTATCTTGCCTGTGGGGCTGGCCTCTGCACAGAGTGGGTCGGGTCAGAATCTGGTCCCCCTTGGAGTGGTGGTGAAAGAGTGGAACTTTGGGACTGGACCTTTTGTGTCCCGTCTCGCAGTGGGTACCCTAACTCGTGGTCTGCAGTCTTCCTTTTACCTCAGGCCTGCACAACTTCCATAGCGGCGAGGGCCATATCACTCCAAAGAAAGCGTCAGCGGGCTGCAAGTAGGGATGCTCTCTCAAAAAAAAAAACCGAACACGCAGGCTAAACATTTTTGTTGAGCAAAAAAAAAAAAAAAAAAAAATCTCTCCTGCATCCTGCCCCTTAGTGCCTTCCCCTTTCTCCTGACCTGCCCCCCTCCCCTACCTGGCTTCTGCCTTCCAGATTGTGGGGCTGCCCGAGCCTTTTTGAATCCGGCAGTCGCCGGCTGTGATGTCATGACGCCACGTCACGCCAGCGTCTTGGTGTCTGCCAGCGTCCCAGCATCTGGCTCGCGTGCCGCCTCCTCATGCCGGAGCTGCATGCAGGCAGCCCGGCAGCGAGAATCACTGCACTTCCCCCTGCCCAGTGGCGCTCCGCTCCTCTGACCGGCCGGCAGATCGGATGGGGCCGCACCACCCATAGTCATCACAGGCCGCACAGTGAACCCCTGTGGGCCGCATGTGGCCCTTGGGTCGTATGTTGTGCAGGCCTGTTTTACCTGATGGTGGTTTCCCCATTCATAAGTCATTGATTGGGTCAATCATGGGTCACTAATCAGAAATAGGTGCTGTCATGCAGCGTGTAGTGACTTACAAGTGTGAGTGTCTTCCCTGAGGTAAAAGTCTCAGAGGAGTAGCTGTATTAGTCTACAACTGAAAAAAAAAACTTAAAAAAACAACGAATGGTCCTGCAGCACCGTAGAAGCTAACAAAAAATGTAGATCGTATCATGAGCTTTCCATATTTGTATTTTTGGACCCCTTGCTCCACTCATCCGAAGAAGCGGGCTGTGCCCACAAAAAACTCATGATGAGATCTACATTTTTTGTTAGTCTGAAAGATGCTGCAGGACCATTTGTTGTTTTTTAGTTTTTTCCTGATATAGGCAATCAGAAATAGGGTAGTCACTCCAAACTGGTGGTGTACTGTATACAATGTTCCCTTTAATTTTGTATGTTTGGGTGCAGAATGAATTTTGATACGTGCACCAAATATGGAGGTTCTGCACATAGATGATCTGTGGTGGGGGTGAGGCTGAAGGGTTTAGAGTCTGGGAGGGTGCGCAGGATTGGAGGATGAGGGTTCTGACTGGGGAGTGCAGGTGCTAGGGTGGGGCTGAAGATGAGGGAGTTGGGATGTGGGAGGGGGTTCAGGGAAGGAGCAGGGGGTTGAAGTGCAGCAGGCCTGGGCCTGGTGAAAGGTGCCTGTCTGCTAGCTGTGGCAGCTCTGGTGTGGCTGGGTTGGGCTGGAGGAGGAGCACATCTGGCTACACAGCAAGTCGATGCTGCTGGGGACAACAAGGGGAGAACTTTGAGAAGGTGCCTCTCTCCCAGTTCCCTGCTGTGGCTGGAGGAGCACATCCATTCCCCCCGTGCAGAAGTTGTCTGCTCGGGCCGGAAGAGTGCATCTTTCACCCCAGGCATAGCAGTTCCCTGCAGGGACCAGTGCAGCACATCTCTCCCCAAGCTGGAGCTGGTAAATGGTTTACCAGCATCACAGGTGCCTCCATACAACCTGAATGCAGAACAGCGAGTGCAGCCCGGGGCCAACGGGAAGTCCTGCTAACTCCAGGCTGCATGCGGGTGTGCCAGCTTTGAAATGTACAAGAGTCCTCAGCAGGAGCTCTTGTGCATTTCAAAGCGGAAGCCCACTCATGGAGCCCGGGGTCAGTGGGGGACTCAGAGTCCCCCGCTGACCCTGGGCTCCATGTTGCACTGCCGATTTGAAATGTCACGCAGAGCCCAGGGTCAACTGGGGCCTTCTCAGCTGATCCGGGCTCCGCACGGCATTTCGTGGATCCTGGGTTGAGCTGGAGATTCCCCAGCTGACCGTGGGTTCCTCACGGCATTTCCCCAGAATCCGGGGTCAGCTGGGGACTCCTCAGCTGATCCTGGGTTCCACGGAAATGCCATACTCTCCTGGAGGAGACCCCACCTCTGCCCAGTACTGATTGATTGATGTGTCAATTGATGTGCGTTAACGCCTGCAATTAACACATGCACCAGGATGGAATATACAGATCCAGCAGATTGTAACATTAACATTTATAGGTTACATGAAGTATTTTGATTAAAGCATCTGTCCTGTAGATATAAGGATTTCAGCCTTCAAAGACCTCAAGCTATCTTTAAAGCACAGTAAATGTTGGCTGCATTCTCACTGGTCTTTCTGAGTGCACCCCCTCATCTTAGACTTTTAGCCTTTACTTTAGTGGGGTAAAATCCCTCACTTTTCTCATTTACAAAGCAGGTTTCTTGGTAAAGCATCCCTATTTGCTAACTCTATATCCTTAGGGGGTCCAACTGTTCTTAGAACATGCAAGTGACTTCCTTTGGGACTCAGAACACATTCTTCCAAACAAAGTATTATTTATTGATCTGTCAAGCAATTTTTAAAAATTACAATTCTGCAATTAATTGGGCTATTCATAATAGTATAACATTTTATATATTTTAGATGCTTACTACATTTTAAAATATATTGATTTCAATTACAACACAGAATAAAAAGTATATTTGCTCACTCTGTATTTGTTTTTATTACAAATACTTACACTGTAAAATA